GGTGTATAGGTTTTTAGATTTCTTCCACTTTCACCTCGGAAAATATTTTTATAACTTTCCCGCGGGAAAATGTTTCCCACTTCTTTGGGTGTCTAGGGTTTTAGGTTTTAGGTTTCTTTCACTTTCTCACGGGAAAGTATTTCTACATCTTCCTAAATACCCATGAGAAGTGCATATAAAGAAGTGCGGCACATTTACCCATGGGAAAATGAAAGAAATCTAAAGACCTAGATACCAAAAGAAGTGTGGAACATTTTTCCGCGATAAAATGTTAGAAATATTCACCCATGAGAAAGTGCAAGAAATCTATAATAATAATACGAAAAGAAGTGTGGAACATTTTCCCGTGGGAAAGTGAAAATCAAAAAACCCATACACCAAAAGAAGTGTGAAACATTTTCCTGAGATAAAATTTTAGAAATATTTTCCCATGGGTAAATGAAAGAAACGTAAAAACGTAGACACCTAAAGAAGTGGGAAACATTTTCCCGCGGGAAAGTTATAAAAATATTTTCCGAGGTGAAAGTGGAAGAAATCTAAAAACCTATACACCTAAAGAATTGCGAAAGACATTTTTTCGTGATAAAATTTTAGGAATATTTTCCCGTGGAAAAATGAAAGAAACTTAGAAACGTTGACACCTAAGGAAGTGGGAAACATTTTCCCGTAATAAAAGGTTAGAAATATATATCCCTGAGAAAGCGAAAGAAATCTAAAAACCTAGACACCAGAAGAAGTGTGAAACATTTTCCCGTGATAAGATTTTAGAAATATTTTCCCATGGGAAAATGAAAGAAACCTAAAAACGTATACACCTAAAGATGTGTGAAACATTTTCCCGTGGGTATATTTAAGAAATCTGAAAACCTAGACATCTAAGGAAGTGTGGAAAATTTTCCCATGGGAAAGTGGAAGAAGGCTAAAAACCTAGACACCTACGGAAGTGTGGAACATTTTTCCGTGATAAAATGTTAGAAATATTTAAGCATGAGAAAGTGAAAGAAATCTAAAAACCTAGACACAAAAGAAGTGTGAAATATTTTCCCGTGGGAAAGTTATAGAAATATTTTCCCATGAGAAAGTGAAAGAAACCTAAAAGCCTAGACACCTAGGGAAGTGTGGAACATTTTACGGTGGGAAAACGAAAGAAATCTAAAAACCTAGACACCTAAAGAATTGCGAAAGACATTTTTTCGTGATAAAATTTTAGAAATATTTTCCCATGAGAAAGTGAAAGAATGCTAAAAAGCTAGACACCAAAAGTAGTGTGAAACATTTTCGCGTGGGAAAGTTATAGAAATATTTTTTGATGAGAAAGTGAAAGAAACCTGAAAACATAATAGCCTAGACACCTACGGACATGTGGAAGAGTTTCCGGTGCTAAAGTGGGGAAATAGGCCTAGAATTGATGTGGGGGAGAAAGTCGAATTTTTGTTTTCGGGGAGGGAAGTTCCCTATGACTAGAGAAAGGGTTGCGACCAAAGTCAAAGTAAACGGTCGGTGTAAACATTCACTTTGAAGGTTTTTTCTGGCTGAATGAAAAAGTATGTATGTTTGAAAAGATACCATTTGATAGGCCGTGAAATTCTCTACAAACTGAGCTGATCAAAATATCTGGACAGATGGGACCAGTCAAACATATGCAGAAGAAGCGTTTGGGTGTTTTATATGTAGTAGTGCTTTATAGGCATAAGAACTCCTTTGTTTTTGATTTTCAGTAACAGCTGGAACCAAGCTGAATACTGTTTTGAATAGCCCGAAGATTTTCTATCAGATGAGATGCATATCGTATTTTATGAAGAAACTTGATAATAGGGTTTCGGGAAAACCTGAAGGCTAGAAAACCAAGTCCTTGTTTTTGGTTAAACAATTTTGCAAAGCATAGAGCCTGATAGAGCAAAGAATTCTGAGGAAAGTAAGATATCTCCTGGCTGTCCGTAACACTCTTTCACCCAACTGTGGTCGATTTACGAATGGCTACAAAGCGGGTGAAAATTACCGAAATATTCCGGTGTAGCCATTTGTAAATCGACTACAGTTGGGTGAAAAGCACAGAAAATATGCTGTAAATAATTTTCCTAGCTTTCGATTAGAACGAATCCTAGCACATATTTCGTATGTGCTAGGACGTCTTCAACATATCAAGCGTATCCGTAAAAATTTCATTAATAGTATCAAGTGGTAATAATGCGTACATATATATATATTTATATATATATATATATATATATATAGGGTGTGGGCAACCGGTTTGATATCCCAACACATATTGGCTTGTTTAGCATTAATGGTACATCGAAGAAAGGTGATTTTTTTATCACTTCTAGCGCATATATACCACTAGCGATCTGTCACTCTTTGAACTATACATACTGCTGTAAGAGAAGAATTTTTAATTTCATTTTTATGACGATCGTCTTAAAGCATCTCATATTCAACTTAACAGAATACGTTAGTTTTTACTAGGGAACCAAGAACAATGTTACGTAGTGAGTGTTGTTAGTAGGTGGTCAAATATTGAAGCTGATCATACTGTTTGTTGTTTATTTACGAATAGGATATTTATCCAAATTCATATTACAAAGAGCAGAAACAACTTGTATAATTTTACAAACAAGCCAATATGTGTTGGGGTATCAAACCGGTTGCCCACACCCATATATATATATATAAATGATACGAGAAATTGAATAAGTTGAAAAAAACGAGAGTTAAGAGATGGGGATAAGATTGTGTATCTATAGTCTATTGTACATTGTATCATATTCCCGAAGATAAAATCAGGTAAAACATGGTAAAACCTGCGTCCTAGCTGTCTTAAAAAAACGTTTTTCAGAGGTGTTTTCTTATCAATCAATCAATCAATAGATTTTTATTCTAACACGAACGTGTCTGGGCTGTTAGAAAAAAGGGGAACTTAAATGAATGTAACGCCTATGTAAGCAAAAGATTAGGAAAAACAAGAAGGAATTGTTACACATAAAGAGGAAAAAATGTTTGACAGAGTGTTAAATATTCTAAATACCGTTGTAAAAACTACATATTTAAATACAGTCTAAGCCTTCGCCTAAATGCTCCTATGGCCAGAGGCGGCGAGAAGAAGTTAAAGCAGGGGGAGGGTAGTTTCAAAAACCGGAGTAAGTTCAAAAAGATTTTCTGGCAAGTTTGATAAAGTAAAAGAAATAGTACAAAATTTGACATTTTTTCATTTCGGATTTACAGTTGTATAATCTGTTACCTCCACACTTTGTAGACACAAGAAGAAAACAGCATTTTTTCACTGTTTCTTCATATCCTTCACAAAACAACATACTATATTCTACGACCAGATTTATTTCTGGACCATCGTTCTACTAATTCTTGAGTATTCATAGCATCTACAAGTACTGTTCCTATTGAACATGATAATAACGCTTGTAATCTTTCATCATCCATAGTTGTTCGTAATCTGTTTTTTATTATTTTCACCTTGGAAAAACTTCGCTCGTTGCTTGCTACTGTGACTGGAATTGATAATAAATATCTATATGCCTGATATAATCTTGGGATTGTTGATTTCCGTTGACTGATAAATAATGATGCATCTGTAATTGTAACGCATTCTTTAGCTATTTTTGTTTTAAATAATTGAATTTCTCCATACAATAAATTACTATCGTCAGTTTTAGTCATTTGACAAATATTAACAACATCTTGTTGGGATAAATTTGTAATATATTCTGGTGCTAATTTTGATAATGATTCTAAATTACTATCAATCGATGATAACACTTCTTTATATTGTAAAATTAATCGATCCAACACTTGTCTAAAACTGTTTGTATAATACTGTAATCTAGAAACCAATAAACAAAGGCAAATATAGATAAAGTCACAGTTGAAAAGAAAAAATAGAAATGTTTTTCATATAAGATGAAGTCAATTTGACGATCAATGGCAGTGCGACCAGTCAGTACGATATACTTCGAAGACAAGAAATACTTAGTGATTAAATTATATATACCTTGTAAATTTATGAGCTGTTTGTGGATTTTCGTCAATTCTTTTTGGTGGTCTTCGTCGACGCTGTTTATAATTGAATTCCTTATCAGGATCAATCTCATAGCTTTTCGACATATTTTCACTCATTGTAATTAAATTATTTAAATTATCATCATTGTTTCGTTCACGTTCTAATAATTTAGTTGTTCTATCTAATAATTCACCAGTTGTTAATAAATCCAATTTTTCACCTTGAAAATGATTTGTGATGGCGTTTGTTGTAGACATTAGATTTTTCATAAATATTAGATATGTAATAAAATTAAATGTTTTCATATTTGTGTTGATGGAATTAGCCTCGTTTCTTGTGTCTTTATCAAAATTTTCACTATCGTCAGTTATTTCATCTAATGTTTCTACAATTTCACGGAAAGATTCATAAACAGCTTTTAATGCTTGATATTTCCCACCCCATCTAATTGTTGATGTTATCTTTGGGATTAACGTAAATAAATTTGAAGAATATTTGTCATTTAAAATGGCTAATCTGAATAAGGAAAAAAACAGATAAATACTTAAGTGCGCCATACAATTCTTACCTTTTTGTACTCGAATGTAAAAAAATTGTATATATTTTGTAATGTTCCAACTAAACAATTAATATCTAAACTTGCTTCACATGCATGCTTAACGACTGTATTCGATCGATGTCCTGAGCATGGAATGTATTTAATTTTGCGTTGTAATTTATCACTAATCTTTGCTTGTACACCATTGAGTTGGCCACTCATATTATTTGCATAATCATAGGATTGTGCAACTAACCGATCAGGATCTAATTGAAGTTCATTTAATACTTCTAAAATATGATTTGCAATACCATCACCTAACAATTAAAATAAAATTAAAGTCAACGAAATGAAGTAGGCAGTAGTCGTATAACTATTACCGGTTTTCAAACGTAGTTCTTTAATCGATACAAAACGTTCTTGTGGTTCTAAATTGTCATCGGCAAACTGAACAAATATGGTTAACATATCTTGACGATTAGAGTCGGGTGTTGAATCGGCCATGATCTAATAATGTGGTGATGCCCGAATATCAGCTAAACTTGTTTCGTGAACTCTATCACCTAATAATTGAATAAATTTGTTTTGTGAATCTGTACTCGTATAAGTAACCTAAACAGTAAGTTGAAAGGTAAAAAGCATCATATGTTGAATTTAATAACTAACTGTTGAACGATATTTACTTTATATGGACGATTATGAACATCGTTTAGCCATTGTTTTAATACTAGATTGTGCTTTGATAATAATTGTACAAGCTGGTAAAAGTTGCCCTCTTCTTCGACATGCCCACGAAAAGCTATATCTTGTCTTGATAAATATTTCACACAATCAATTAATATTTTAACTGCTTCTAGGTTAGATTTAGCCATTTGAACTTTTTGTTGCTCTTGCTGTT